CATAGCATAGCATAGCATAGCATAGCATAGCGCAGCACAGCACAGCACAGCATAGCACGGCGCAGCATCTGCACATCATAACATAGCATAGCATAGCGCAGCATAACATAGTATAGCATACCGTAGCATAGCCCAGCATAGCATGGCATAGCGCAGCATAGCATAGCATAGCATAGCATAGCATAGCGCAGCACAGCATAGCACAGCACAGCACAGCACAGCACAGCACAGCATAGCATAGCGCAGCATATCATAGCATAGCATAGCATATCATATCATAGCATAGCGCAGCTCAGCATAGCATAGCACAGCATAGCTTAGCATAGCACAGCGCAGCATGACATATCATAGCTTAACATAGCACAGCATAGCATAGCATAGCCAGCATAGCATAGCAGAGCATAGCATAGCGCAGCGTAGCATGGCATAGCATAGCATAGCATAGCAACTAATGCTGCTTTCCTAGGGGCTCCAACTCCTAGGTAGGGTCGCACTGGGGTAACATTTTCCTTATTTTTCGTGCAGGGTCCGCCGGCAGGAGGACGTGCCCGGCCTGAGCTCCGTCTCCCCTGGAGCGCCGCCCCCTGGGTCTGCCTGTGGGGGCGCTGGCTGGCCGAAGCCACAGGCGAGCGACGCAGGACAGGCGGTGCGGCTGCGCGGGCACTGGCGCGTAGGCTTCAAAAATAGTAACAAAAGGTTGTCTGGGGACGCTTTTTCGACTGTTTCTGGCCATGTTGGGATATCTTTTGACTATTTTTGAGTTTTCGCGCCGCGCAAGGCCGCGCGCAGGCTCGCTCGTTTCCAATGGAAGCGTGCCGCGCTGGCGGCCCGCGCAAGCCACCGCGTAAGGTCGCCATGCCATCTCGCGCAAGACCCCTTTGCTGTCGTCGCTCATGTGTTTTACTGGTCCACCATGTTGAGGATGCAGCGGTCGGCATTTTGGGGGGGACAGCCCAGATTTTCTGCCAGGTGCAGGGGGTCCCGAGTCCCTCTGCCTTGTCTGGGCGTCCCCGACGTCGAGCGACTGTGCCCGCGCGCATCCTTCCGTGGAGCGGGCGCGAACCCACGACACCCGTGGCGAGGTGCTTTGCGACACACAGGGGGGGGCGATGGCGACGACCACCGGGGAAGAGCACTCGGCACAGTGCGGTGCCGCGCCTGGGTTCCAGCGTGCGGCAAGCGTGCCGTGCCGTGCCGTGTCGAGCCGGGCCCGCGCGCCGTGCCGTGCCCCGCCCAGGCTTGGAAGGAGCAGCAGCTTCGCCGTGCCGTGCCGCGCCCGAGGGCCGCGCCGTGCCTGGGCTCCGGAGCCGTGGAGCACACGCGTGCCGCGGAGCGCGCCCGCGCGCCGTGCCGCGCCGCCCCGTGGCTCCTGTTTTCTGCTTCGTTTTTTTTTGCCGTGGCGTGCCGTGGCGTGCGCGCGCGCCGGTGCCTCACCGTGCCGTGCTCGGCCTCCTGCGGCACTGACCACGCGCACACTGACATGGGAGCGAAGGATGGCATAAACAGAAAAGCTCGGAGGTTCGCGCGGATTTCTCGGATCCACGCTGGGCCCCCCTGGCGGGAGAGGGGTCCAGCGCGGACCCAAGAAGTCCGCGCGGACCTCCGAGGTTTTCTGTTTATGTCATTCTTCGCTCCCCTGCCTGCGGCACTGGCCACACATACCCACCAAGCACGCCCTCTTTCGGCGGCGAGCGAGGGTGGGAAGTGAGAAGGGGCGGGCCTTCTCTGAAGGCTCGGAAGTCCCCTGGCCCTCCGAGAAGTTTCCTGAGCCTTCCCCGGAGACGCCGAAAGCCTCTCAGAAGGCGGGAGGCCTTCTGAGAAGCGCCGCCGCCTTCTGAGAAGGCCTTCTCCTTCTCACTTCCCCCCTTCGCTCGCCGCCAAACTAAGCGCGCTCTCTCTGCTATCGACTCACCGCGTGTTCTCGTGCAGCGTTGCTGCTCAGGGTCTCCTTGCACGGTGCAGGTTTCGAGGCGCGAGCCCCAGAGCCCTCGCCCCCCCCCCCCCCCCCTGTCATGCTGTCGCATGATGTGAGCCTCCAGAGGTCTCGACCCCTTCCCCAGGACCGGCTGAGCCGTTTTTTGGGCGGTCCCGAGGCAAGCGCCCCCAGAGGCCGAAAACAAAGGAAACCCTCCCGTCATGCTTTCTTCGCGACGCGAGGGGGTCTAGGGAGCTCTCGACCCCACCCCAGAGAGCAGTCTTCTGTCGGGGGCCGTCTTGCGACAGCCCTGGGTGGCCCGAAGCGGGTTCACGGAGAGGCCGAAGTCGTGGAAGGTGTCCGCCGCAAGCTTTTCGGGTCGTCGGGCGTTTGGACCCCGGGCCGCGAAGCCCGCCCCCCACCCAAGACCTCCTCCTCCTCCTCCTCCTCCTCCCTCCTCCTCCTCCTCCTCCTCCTCCTCCTCCTCCTCTCCTCCTCCTCCCCTCCCCTCCTCCTCCCCCCCCTCCTCCCCTTTTCCTCCTCCTCCTCTCCTCCTCCTCCTCCTTCTCCTCCTCCCTCCTCCTC